TGATTTATTTGGATTTATTTTATATCCTGCAAGTTGGCTGAATTTGTTTATTATTTGCTAAAGCTAACATTTCTATTACAATATTAAATAACAATGGTGATAATGAACATCCTTGTTTCACTCCGGATCTTTTTAGAAATGCTTCTAGCTTATCCCTGTTACATATAATGCTTGCTGATGATTTTAGGTAGATGCTACTTATCATTTTAAGGAAGACTCCATTTATTCCTATGATTTCTAGTGTTTTTAATAGGAATGGGTGTTATATTTTGTCAAAACCTTTTTCTGCATCTGTTGAGATTATCATATGGTTTCTGTTAGTTTTATTGTCGATATGGTCAATTATGCTGATAGTTTTCCTAATATTGAACCAGCCCTGCATTCCTGGTATAAATCCTACTTGGTCATAGTGTATTATTCTTGTAATAAGCTGCTGTGATCTTTTTCCTAATATTTTATTTAAAATTTTGCATCTATATTCATTAGGGAGATTGGTCTATAATTTTTTTTCCCTGTTGTAACTCTTACCAGTTTAGGTATCAGTACCGTATTTGTATCATAAAAAAATTTGGTAGCACTTTTTCTTTGCCTATTTTCCCACATAGTCTATATAGTATTGGAATTAATTGTTCTTTAAATGTGTGATAGAATTCACTTGTAAATCCATCTGGCCCTGGAGATTTTTTTTCCTAGGGAGTTCATCGATGGCTTGTTCAGTTTCTTTTTCTGAAATGAGATTATTTAAGTATTTTATTTCCTCTTCTGTAAATCTGGGCAATTCATATTTTTGTAAATATTCGTCTATTTCACTAAGATTGTCAAATTTAGGGGCAGCTAGGTGGCGCAGTGGATTGAGCACTGGCCCTGAAGTCAGGAGGACCTGAGTTCAAATGCGGCCTCAGACCAAACACTTGACATTTACTAGCTGTGTGACCCTGGGCAAGTCACTTAACCCCAATTGCCTTAAAAAAAAAAAGATTGTCAAATTTATTGGCAGACAGTACAGTTGGGTCAAATAGCTCCTAATTATTGTTGTAATTTCTTTTTATTGGTGATGAATTCATCCTTCTCATTTTTGGTACTGGTAATTTGGTTTTCTTTCTTTTTTTTTGAAATCAAATTAACCAAAGGTTTATCTATTTTCTTGTTTTTTTCTCACAAAACCAGCTCAGTTTTATTTATTAGTTCAATGTTTTTCTAAATTTCAAGCTTATTAATCTCTCCTTTGGTTTTCATTATTTCTAATTTGGTATTTAATTAGGGATTTTTAATTTGTTCTTTTTCTAGCTTTTTTAGTTGCATGCCCAATTCATCTATTTCTTCTTTCTTCATTTTATTCATGTAAGCATTGAGAAATAAAACTTCCCCTAAGAACCACTTTTGCTGCATCCCATAAGTTTTGGTATGTTGTCTCATTATTGTCATTCTCTTGTATGAAGTTATTAATTGTTTCTACGCTTTGTTGTTTGACCCACTCGTTCTTTAGGATTACATTGTTTAGTTTCCAATTAATTTTTAGTCTGTCTTTCCATGGCCCTTTATTGCATGTAATTTTTATTGCATCATGATCTGAAAAGATGCATTTAATATTGCTGCTGTTCTGCATTGGATAGTGAGGTTTTTATGCGCTAGTACATGCAGCACTTTTGTGTAAGTGCTATGTACTGCTGAGAAGAAGGTATATTCTTTTCTATCCTCATTCAGTTTTCTCTAGAGGTCTACCGTATCTAACTGTTCTAAAATTCTATGTACTTCCTTAACTTCTTTCTTGTTTATTTTGTGGTTAGATTTATCTAGTTCAGAGAAGGGGAGGTTGAAGTCCCCCACTAGTATAGTTTTGCTGTGTATTTCTTCCTGTAACTCCCTTAACTTCTCCTCTAGGAATTTGGATGCTATACCACTTGGTGCATATATATTTGGTAATGATATTACTTCATTGTTTATGGTGCCTTTTAGCAGGTGGTTTCCTTCCTTATCTCTTTTAATTAGATTGAAAATAAGTATCATTTAGGGGCAGCTAGGTGGTGCAGTGGATAGAGCACTGACCCTGGAGTCAGGAGGACCTGAGTTGAAATCCAGCCTCAGACACATAACACTTAGTAGCTGTGTAATCCTAGACAAGTCACTTAACCCCATTGCCTAACCAAAAAAAAAAAAAAAGAAAGTAAGTATCATTTAAATGCCACTTGTGGAAAGTGTCTTCTGTATGCTTCTCCATGAACTGTGAATTTGGCTTGCAAGGAATAGAATCATGGATTTACTCTTGTTTTATATACATTTAAAAAAGCCAAGTTGGAAAATATGATGAACACATTTTAATGTGACAGTGTCTGAAAATACAAATTAATAAACTGACGTCCATGTAGACACAAAAGCAAGTAAGCATGAAAAGAATAACGGAAGGATTCTATATTCTCAAAAAGTATGAAACACTTTTTTATAATTCCGATATATAAAAAAACCACTTTGTCTCTAGTGACACTTGGACAACCGTGTAACTTTTGTTGGGCTCATTTATTTCAACTGTAAAAGAAGAGGGTCTGAATAGATGAATTCTAAAATCTTTCCTAGGTCTAATCTGCGATTTTATGATAATGTGATTAATTCCAATCGTCAACTTAGTTTTTATTAAGTTGATGTGGCTCCTCCACCAATCCAGTTTACAACACATCTGTAACTTAATAGTTTTGGAGAGTTGCTATGACCATAACATTTAGCACCATGTGGTTAATTTAGTGGTGAGCTGTCCTGAATTTAGTTGGGTTGCTCCTTAGATAATCGACATCCATTTTATCACCTGGAATACGCTGGAAACCTTTTCAGCTTGGTGTGAGACCTGCCCCAGTGTTTATACTTTGCTAACATAGCCTTTGAGAACCCCAGAATCACCTCCATATTATGAACAATTATACATTTATCTACAGTGTTACCTAGACATAGTAAGTTGGTTCATTAATCTAAGTAGATGAAAATTCCTTAGCAAGTTTGTTTGAAGGAAGATGACTCTTATCGCTTTGGGAAGATCACATTCCTTCTCTCTTATCTTGTCTCATGTGCCAACTTAATGTGGGTATCCAATAGCAGCCTGCAACTTCTATCTTGAAAGTCAGAATCAAAGAAATGATGGTGATTGCTAAGTTCCATCTTCTTATTTGGTAAATAACTAGAGTGCTCTGATTGTCTTTGATCTGTACCAAAAGGGGATCTTATTCTGAGGTCTGTGAACTTAGAACAATTTTATAAGTATTCCAATGTTAATTGATTTTTTTGGTAATCTTATATATTTTGTTTTATGCATTTAAAAGCTTATTCTGAGAAGGGGTCCATAGACAGCCAAATCTGGGTCTTTGACACAAAAAAAGAACTAGATCCTCAAACCTTGGATCATCTTTGGGAAGCCCTGTGGCTATGAAGCTAAAACAAGGGGCATCTGATTGTTGAAATATCTCCTTTTTTGGGAACAGAAGGGAGTTGGTGCATGGCATTTTTGATTAGGAGTACTTCCTCTATTTCTGTCCTGTGTAGAGCCTCATCAGTGGAATAATGGAATTAACTTTTTGCCTTTGGTCATATCTGTAAATAGATGGGGTAATGGTATAGTTTCAGTTATTCCTTTGGTATATACAATTACAGGGCTAGCCACAGAATCATCAGAATATTTCAGTGATGTGTGAAAAAATTCAGCATTACTTCTATTTTTTGTGGGTCATACTATATCTAAAGTATACATAGTTATTGCACGATATTACTTATTTATAATTAATAAGTGGATGCATTCTATTGACACTATACAACATTCTAGGAGGTAAGAGAAGGGGAATTATGGTGTGAATATGTAATTAAGTGGAAATTAAAATATAGATGTGACAAATAAAAAGACCAAGACCTCAACATTGATAACCTCTTCCACATTTGCTTCCTTTTATGGCTTCTTTTTATGTAGAATGTAGTAATAATTTCTGATTGAATAGCAAAGTTGAAGCATATCATTTATCCTTTAACTCAATCTTAGTTCTAGTCTCCTAACACTTTAGAATAGAGTGAAATCCCTGATCAGGTACCAATGGCCAGTTGTACAAACCCTATTATTTGATTTTCCAGTAACTATGTGGTCCACCAACGTCCTTTGATCTCCTTGAAAAGGAAAAATTCTGTCCAATTCAATTAGCATTTTTATGTGCCTTTAGGTGAGGCAAGCTCAACCTTCTTGAGAAAGAGAAGGAGAAAGGAGGTGCATATGAGGGAGGAGAGAAGGAAAAGAGAGTGAAAAGAATGACAATGAGTGTGAGAGGGGCAGCTATGTGGCATAGTAGATAGAGCTCTGGCCTTGGAGTCAGGAGGACCTGAGTTCAAATGTGGCCTCAGACACTTGACACTTACTAGCTGTGTGACCCTGGGCAAGTCACTTAACCCCAATTGCCTCACCAAAAAAAAAAAAAGAAAAGAAAATGAGTGAGAGGGAAGTGCCATCCACTTTCTTTATTGAAAGATGAAGGGAGCTGAGGCTTTAGGGAGTCATCTTACTCCTTGTTGGGCCAGGCCCTCATTCAGCCAGCTGGTGAATGGTTTCTCACAACAGATACTGTATGTTTTCTTCCTTTATTCTCTTTGTACTTAGATTTCCTACATTCTGTGTGTTATGAAGGTTTTTTTTTGTTTCAAAACATGGTTGACTTTATTACAAAGCATTTTTTTTCATAGAGGAGTCATTAGTTGGTATGCATGAATTTGTTTTCAAGAGGCTGCTGTATAGAAACTATTCTTTGGACAATGAAATTCTACCTGCAGTGCATGCAGCATCACTCTGATCACTGTTCCTGATTCCTCGTTGCTATTGGTTAGGAAAGGTTTTAAAATTTTAATATCTGATCTCTTATTTTATCTGTCTTATCAAAGAGATAGATTTTAATTTTACTTTTGAAATTTTAATGTATTTTCTGAGTAAGTTAATTATGATAGTTTTTTTGAATAGGTTTAAAATCTCTTTTCTAAATTTGTAGGTTTTCTTGAAGAAATGAAGGTTTAAGAGATATTTATCTATCAAATCAAAATATGGGAGCAAACAGCAGCAGCATTAGTGACCTTTCGGAAAATGAATATCTAAAAAGGTTGTCTGGAGCAGAATCTATCTCTGAGAATGACCCATTCTGGAATCAACTTCTTTCTTTTTCTTTTACTACACCAACTAACAGGTAAGATATTTCCTAATGTTTTGCAGACTTAGATCAATGGGCCACATTTTCTTTGGTTATCTATGGAATAGTGTCAATAGATCGTGAACATTACAATTTGAAATAATTTCATTTGGGCTTGTGAAGGTTTCTGTGAACATTAAAGTACATTGTTCATGTATAATTATTTTAACTTAAATTGTATTTTTGCTATTTGTTTTGTATGTGAAAATAAACAAAATAGGTAAAACTGGTTCTTGGATTTCTCACATTTTTTATGGTCATTTGTACTTTTCTGTGTGGGATCTACTTTGATAAGAAGAGACTTCATTATGGTGAGGAAAAAGGAGAGTTGCTTTAGTATTACTTCGACTTGATAGGGTTGAAAGAAAAGAAGTGATCAATCTGTTCTCTCCATGTTTGCTATGATTTAGTAGCAGATACTGCCTGAATTAGGGCTTTTGACTGCTGAATTAAGGCTGTCATGAGTTGTTAAATCAGAAAGAGACTTGATTAGTTTCTCCTCCCCATTTCCTACATTTGACAGCAATGGCTTCTCCAATTCACTGTACATGCTAGGAAAAGAAGGGAAAAACTCATGTGTAAGTGTTAAGTGTCCAAAAGAATTTTATTGAAACATATTCTCTGTGACCAGCAAAGACTTTAGGAAGACTGATGAGGGGAGGTTGAGGGTGACAGTGGTCATGCAAATTAGTGTCCAACTTGAGTATGGCAGCTCTAGAGAGAGCTTCCCAGCTTTCCTTTCTTATACATAAAAAAGTCTTGTCTGATATCTGTTAGGCGGGGTGTTCCCTTCTTTTCCAGGGTTCCAGCATGGTGATTGGAAGGGAGCAAAGTGTTATCAGTTACCTTCCATTCCACATTTACACTTTGAGGTTTTTGAATACTGAAATTGGTTGAGGGGATAAGAATCATAGGAGTGGAATACTCCTATCTCTCCCTTCTCCCATTCAAGTCAGGCTAATAAGGGGGATGTGGTGTGTCTATTCAATGAACCCAGTTACCGTGGGGCTGTTTGGGAGCAGTTGGACACTTATCTGTGAAGCTATAATTGGGAAGACAAAGGAGACCTTCCTTTCTGGTTTTAGATATCAAAGCAAAAGAAAGCAGGAAACACAACCACACAGATATACAGATTCGTAACTAATTAATATGGGCATGAGCCTTCCTATATTGGAGAGAGAACCTCTAAATTGCTTGGCCATTGCCAGGATGATGCTAGTTTGTTTTCTCAAATTAGGATCAAAAATATGGTGCAGTTGCTTATAGAATTTTCCTTTGGAATTTTACATATGAATGCTAATTCATATTCTATAGGGGAGCAGAGAATGAAATTCCAATATAGAAATGCAGCATAGGGAAAGTGACCTCATTTATAGTGGTATTTTTTTTGTATGTGAATATAAATTAATTCAAATTCCCCAAAGGGAAGGATGACACTTTCAGTTATAGAATTTGAAGAAGCAAACATATTCATATACATATCATAAGAAGGATCATAAGGACCATAAACCAAGCACTATGGAATAACTCATGTCTGTTATAGTTTAATGGTCTCTATAACCCTGCTAAAAGAATGATTTTGTTTTTTGCTTGTATGATAAATCAGTGTTCGAAGCTGGGAAGGGAAAAAAGAGCTCCCATATAAACCTTACCTATCCAAATGAGATGTATTGAAAGAGATTCTTTATTTATTGAGGCCTCAGGAGGACTGGATTTGGGGCATATTGCAGGTCTTCAGGCCTGTCAGTTGAGGTGGGCCTCTGGTAGATAGCTCATGGGCACTTGTGATGTCAGAAGAGCTTATGGGGAAGCTGCGACATAGATGGCTTATCAGTTTTCCCTTTTATGCAGAAAAGGGCTTGCTATGTATCAGTGATGATTTGCCAGATTTCTTCGAGTTCTAGGATTTATGAACATTGTAATTGGTTTAGGGAAGAAATAAATAGTTTAGCATCCATCATGGTTAACTTTATAAATACAGGGTGTCTCAAAAGTCTGTGCAGTTTTAAACTACTAAAGCTTAGAGGTTAAAAAAAAGTTTTGCTCATAAGTTATTAATGCTTAAAACTGTACAACAGTTTTGGGAACACTGTGTATATTAGACTGATTCTCATGGCCTTGTCTGGATTTGGCGAAACATTTATCTGGAATCTTTCTGGAGATCAGACTTACTGTCAGTCAAGCAGTTGAGTACTACAGTATATCTAGAAATCGTGGCCCCTAAATTTTTTTGGATGATGTCTACCAGAAAAGGACAGATTGTCAGAGTTGGGTAGCTAAGGGGTTCTGGAGAGGTCCTTCCCATGTAATAAAGAAAAATATTTAAGCAAAACTGCTCACACAATGACTGTGTCCAACAGAGTGTATACAGCATTCCATACTTTTAGTCCTGTTTCTGCTGAGAAGAAAGTTTATTTTTTATTTTTTGTTTTCTGTAATCTTACCCTAAGATTGATCATTTCATTTAGTCTGATTGACCTCAGATTTTTAAAAGACACGTATAGAGAAGTTTTGTAGATCCCTGAAGATAACACCCTTTCAAATATTTAAGCATTATTCATTTTAATGGAGATATTTCTAAAATGTATTATATATCTTCTTTATTATATACTTTCTTAAGTAGAAGATACTAAACCAGGGGTGGGGAACATGCAGCCTTAAGGAGCATGTGGCCCTCTAAGTCCTCGATCTTTGACTGAATCCAAACTTCAGAAAACAAAGATTCAGTCAAAAGGTCACACTTGAGGACCTAGAGGGCCACATGTTACCTCTAGGCCACAGGTTCCCCACCCTTGTACTAAACCATTTAAATATTTCTTAATTAAGTATTAAGAGGCAGCAGGGTTAGGACTGGCCCTGAAGTCAGGAGGACCTGAGTTCAAATTCGGCCTCAGACCAAACATTTGCCACTTACTAGCAATTGCCTAAAAATTAAAAAAAAAAAGAAAAGAAACCGAGAAGAGTTGGATTCTTGCTTCTGGCCTGTCCTAGCTGGATGATCCTGGTCAGTTTATTCAGTTTGCTTCTCAGTGTGTTCAGTACCTCTCTAAAGCTATAAATTGCTGAGTAGGTGCTGACTGACCCACACTGGTAGTTCGTATGCCAATGAAATCACAGGTCCAGGCCCAAATCCCAATTTTAGTTTACAAAACAAAGGCAATACTGATGATAAGTACAGAGTAATGACAGAGACTGAGAGAAGGTGGAACTATTTTATCTGTGGTTTCTCTACCAAGGAGAATGATTTTCAAACTGAAAAGTAAAGGACAAAAGTGGTTAACAGGAAATTGGAACTCAGGATGACCAAACATATGGTAAGAGAACTTCTAGAGACCCTCAACAAGTTCAGGTTGTCTGACCTGGACACAACACTACAGGATCGTGAAGGAAATTTTGGATGTGATTGCCGCTGAGCTGTGGGAAGATGGGTAAACATTATCCTGATTTTCCAAAAAAGGAAGAAGATAGATTCTTTAAACAGTATGATGTTGAGCTTGACTTTGATTCATGGTAAAGACCTATACCACATTTATTCAAAGAAAGATTTGTCAGCATTTGGAAAGAGAAGTGGGAATCACTGCAAGCCCACTTTGATTCATGAAGAACAAGCCAAGCTCATTTCCCTTTTAAGATAGGATTATTAGATTGAATATTGAAGAATTCTATAAGTCTAATATGCCTGAATTTTAGTTAAGTATTTGACAAAGTGGCTCTAATATGGATGAGGTAAAGAAATATGGAAGGGATGGTAGTAATAATAGCTAATAATAGGCCTTAAAGTTTGCAAAATGCTTTACAGATATCTCAAAGAGATCATAAAAAAGGGAAAAGGACCTGTATATGCAAAAATAATTATAGCAGCCCTGTTCATGGTGGTAAAATATTGGAAATTGAGGGGCTGCCCATCGATTGGGGAATGGCTGAACAAGCTGTGGTATATGAATGTATTTTTTGTTTTTGTTTTTGTTTTGTTTTGTTTTGTTTTTAAGGCAATTGGGGTTAAGTGACTTGCCCAGGGTCACACAGCTAGTAAGTGTTCAGTGTTTGGTCTGAGACCGGATTTGAACTCAGGTTCTCCTGACTTCAAGGCCGGTGCTCTATCCACTGTGCCACTTAGGTGCCCCTGTGGTATATGAATGTAATGGAATATTATTGTGCTGCAAGAAATGATAAACAGGCAAATTTAGAAAAACCTGAAAAGACTTGTATGAACTGATGGAAAGTGAAATGAGCAGAACTAAGAAATATTGTGTGCAGTATCAGCAATGTCATGTGATGATCAGCTATGAATGACTCAGCTCTAATCAGTGATACAATGATCAAGAAAAGTACAAAGGATTCTCCAAGGAAAATGCTGTCTATATCCACATAAAGAACTGATGGACTCTGAATGCAGATCGAAAGCACATTTTTTCACTTACTTTATTCATTCTCGTGTTTTTTTTTCCTTTTGATTTGTTTCTTCTTCCACAAATATGGAAATATGTTTTATACAATAACACATATATAAACTATATCAAACTGCCTAACATTTTCAGAAGAGGGGAGGGGAGGGAGGGAGAAAAATTTGGAACTTAAAAAATTTTTTAAATGAATGCTAAAATTTTCTTGATGTATAATTGGGGGAAAAACACTATAAAGAAAAAGACAATAATACTGAAAAAAGTGCTTTACAAATATTATCTCCTTTGGTAATAGTCAGACAGGTAGTAAGTGGCAAAAGCAGCTATATGGATACTGAGCTGGTTGAATGACGGGTCCAGATGAGTTGCCTAATATGAATGAATTGTTGTCCACCTAAAGGGAGATTAGAGATCGCTAGTAGAGAAGTTCAAGATAATGTCATTAACTCTGTTCTGTTCAGCATTTTTATCAGCAGCTTGAAGCAAGGCATAATATATATTACATTTTCAGTTGGAAGGTAACTGGAATCTAGGAGGGATGAACAGAATCAGAGTCCAAAGAGACCTCAGATTATAGAACAATGGGGATAAATA